GAGTGAAGTCGGTGATAGATGGGATCCCAAATGGCAAAGTTGAGTGACTAACTAGAGGATTTTTGAAGTTTAGTGACCCCTTGGAATACAAAGTTTGTTGACCATTTAGGGTATTAGCCACACCGAGGAAAAGGACTTGGGTTTGTTGGAGTGGGATTTCCCAAATGTTTGGTCAAGCTTATATTTTGTGGTGGCTGTGATTGTGGGAGGCGACAACAGTGACGACTGCGGCATCGACGGTAGGGGCTATGGTGGTAGGTTAATTTGGTTTGGTTTAGGGGTAGGGGAGGACTGAGGAATGGGGTGAGGTGTGGAGTGGAGTGGGAAGAATTAATTATTACAATGGTCACTGAACTTTGAAAAAGTTGTACATTACTCACTAGCATTAATATTGAACTTGGAAAAATGTCAAGTTTTTAATGAGTAATGTACAACATTTTTCAATTAGTGGTTAAAATTCGATATTTTAAATTTCAATGAACAATCGAAGATGAGGACTTAAGTTCAATTAGCAAAACTCGACATTTTAAACTTCAATAACCAATAAAAAAGAATATGAACCTAAGTTCAGTGACCACTAAAACAATTAACTCGAGTGGGAAGGGGATGATGAACAGTAGCTTTGGTTGTTTTTTTTTTTTTATGTATATATGTTAATACCATAATTTTTATTAACTACACTAATTTTTATTACGTTGCATATCCCTAAATTTTTCTCATTTTTGTACTTATGTTTTCAATTTTTTTTTTTTTAAATTATCATCAACCTTCTATTAATTTTCACATCTTGTCTATAAAGATCAATGTTATCAAAATCGGCCCTACCCAACTGGTTTAAGTGGTAAAACTTACAACCGGGCCCAAAATCGGGCCAATCATGCTCGGTTAACCGCTTCTGACTAAATCGCTTAAAAACTCACCGAATCGGTCGGTTTAACCGTAAACTGGTGAACCGGCTGCAGTTTTGTGGGTTCCCCAAATTTTTTTATTTTTTTTTTTAGTTTAAAAAATTTCAACTTCATGAATGAGCCTCATAAATAACAAGTCAAAGGCTCATAAAGAAATATTGGATGACATGCTCATTTTATAGATGCACCTCTTTTAAATAGTTTTATAAACTTCTAATATGGGATAGTGCATTTTATATATATAATTCTCTGAAATGATTTTCATCCAAAATATTTGATATGAAAGCCAAAAAGGCATTTTTCTTTCTCACATTTTTAAAGAATTGAAATAAATAACTAATATAAAAGTTAAACAAAATATTTCTCCATCTGTTCAATGCACTTTAGTAGAATATTCGAATGAAAATCGTAATTAAAGACAAAATATATTAACTAATGAAATTTACAAAATATATTAACTAATGAAATGTTAAAAATGATAATATGATGCAAAAAAAATTGAGGACATAAAAGTAAAAGTGAGCAAATATTAAAACCCTTCATTGTAAATAAAATGTGGTGCAACTATTAAAAAAAATATTTATAATTTTTATTTCAAAGTTACCATTTTACCCCTTTTAAAATTGGTTAAATTAAAATTATCAATTTTTCAATTTTTAAGGTCAACTAATGGCTAATATGACGGAATCCTACTTATCGGACTCTAGATGCGAGTTTTCTAAAAGCTTGGTACCGTGGATGTCATAGAGTAAAGATTCGGGTCAAGTCTGCATAAAAGTAAAACGCTTGGTACCACGGCTGTAATTTTCGCTTATTTTTATGTTTTTTATAGTCCACTATTGTCTCCACCAACTCACGTTGCCTTGCTTATCATTTGTTACCTGTTTGATTTTTTGCCTGAAAGGAAGAATGGCCATGGAAGCTCAAACAGCAATCAAAGTAGTCGCCCTCTGCGGTTCTCTCCGTAAAGCTTCCTACAATCGTGGCCTCCTCCGTGCCGGTAATTCCCTTTATTTGCAGCTATGTAGTAACTCCAAGTGTGGTATCGTGTGGGTCAAAAAAAATTCAGGATTCTTGTACTTGAGACAAAATCATCCTCATTTTTCAATTTAAGTAAAAATGGTTGTTAAGCAATTGTCGAGTTTGTGGTTGCTTTATAGAGTCTGAACACTGAATATGAAGAATTGAAAACTACTGCTTTATATTTTCTTTTGAAATTGAAATTTAAATACAAACATATTGATGATGTGATGTGATGAATTAATTATTTTTTTGTGTTTGGGGATATGTATTGAATTGATCAATTATGTAGCAATGGAGTTATCGAAGACCATAAAGGGTATGGAAATAGAGTACGTGGACATATCCCCTTTACCATTTCTCAACACGGATCTTGAGGTAGATGGGACTTACCCTCCTGTCGTGGAGGCTTTCCGGCAGAAAATTCTTGCAGCTGATAGTGTGCTTTTTGGTTCACCAGAGTACAATTACTCCGTCACTGGTACAAAAACAAATCTTAACTTTTTCTAACTCGGTGAACTTATCTTGTACATACAATGTAATTTGTTCTCAACATTCATTTAAGTGCTTCATGATCTGATATGGCATTCTATTACTAGTATAATAGGTATGAGATTCTGGTTAGTGTGAGTTCTGATTCTAAGTCAACTATACCCAACCTTAGTTGAATTTGATTTTAAGTAAACTATGCTCAACAGTTATATGACAATGATGAACAAGATGCATTTAGTGAACTTCTGAAAGTATCATGGTGCCTTCTACGAGGACTTAAACAGAGAAAGTAGAAATAACAAAAAATGAAAAATATGTAGCAGGCATTGATATACAATCTAAAAGAATTCTGGGCAGTGTTTATAAATGGTTTAATTTATAAGTAGATAGAAATGAGTAGCGGATAAGTGACTAATACTCATGGGGTCCCTCAACATGTGTGAATAAAAAGTTGTTTGAGTGTTTATAAAATTTATGAACATGAACCAAACATAGGCTAAGATGATCATTCCTAGCAAATGAAGGAGATGGTAACCTGGAATTTCGTGTTGTGATAATTCCGTCCACTCTCTCACTTGCCCAACAAATGCTTTAAATTAGAGGGTTATACTACACGTACATCAGGGTGTCCATATTCTTATGTGGAGGGTAACTCACTTCGAATAGAGTATTTCATTCTAAGTCGGTCCCCCTTCATGTGAGGAGATGACCCCGTTATGAACATCGCATTATTTACAAGTGGTAGGATGATAGTTCAAATTTTTAGAGTGAACAGACAATTGCTTGTTATTTAACATCTATACTAAAGAATGCTTCACACTTTTTGTCATCACGCTTTAACATGAATATCTCACCCAATGCTAGCATTTCATTAGAACAACTGAGAAATCATCTCACTTTCAGCTATAAAAGTTGGGCAAAGCTAGTGAGAGAAAAGTAGAAAGGAACAAAATTATCAAAGAAAGAATCATCATTTAGTAAATCACGAGCCTGGGGACGTGCATCAATTTGATAAACTTAGATTTGTTTAAATTTATTCTTCATTATCCTATCTAATAAATAAAAGAGGAAGCATGAGGAAGTTTGAAGCGAAAAGAATTTCCTTGGGTAGCGGATAAGATTTTTAGACGTTAGATGGAAAAGTTACGACATCATCTTTGAATAGTTATAATCTTTGAAACCACTTTGGAGAGTGGATTTATCTCAAGGTCTTCTCTGTAACTCTGTTATACAACAATCTTGAGTTTGTTTTGCTTTATGATTGAAATTGAACTTTAAGGTTCAGGTTGAGCCATAAGTAGGCACCAGACAAAGTTATCTTAACTTTTAACACATCTTTATTATATGAAATTTTACCCCAAATTTTCGCTCTGTGTAGCGAGTAATATATCTCTACCAGTTTATGTTTGAAACATCCAACATCCATGAATCAGTTGATTGACTAGCTGTACCTGGCCATGTATAGCCTCAGAGATGAATCTCTCTGTTAGTCTCTTCAAACCTATTTGTTGTACGAAATCATGTGTTAAAATGACTCCTGATGATTGTTTTGATTTAGTTAGGACAGCAAGTGTTTAAAACTTCATTAATTATGTATGAACGTGCATTCTTTCCGTGCATTTACTAAATTTATTTTGTGGGTCGACCCAGGACCTTTGAAAAATGCAATTGATTGGGCATCTAGACCTCCAAATGTTTGGGCTGATAAAACTGCTGCAATGTTGAGCGCGGGAGGAAGCTTTGGTGGGGGACGATCACAATATCATCTCCGCCAGATTGGAGTTTACCTTGATCTTCATTTCATCAATAAGCCAGAGTTTTTCCTTCATGCATTCCAACCTCCTGAAAAGTTTGATAGTGATGGCAACTTGATTGATGCTGCTGCCAAGGAGAGGATCAAAGCGGTTCTTTTAGCTTTACATGCATTTACATTGCGACTTCAAGGCAAGTGTGGATAGTATTGCATCTCTTCACACTTGACATTAGCATGAAACTGTTCGACTTAAAATAGTTTTCCATATGTTGCTCTGATTGGCAAATACTATTGATTGAACTTTTCTGTTGTTTTCGATTTTTACTGCTTTGGAATTATGTATGGTTGTGTAGAAATGTACCTCAATAATTATGTGACACTCAATAATTTCGATTGATGCTTTGAACCTTTCAAAGTTGAAAACGCATCAATGACAATTGGAACTATTTTGAATTTTTTTGATGAACTTTTTTTTGTTGAAATTAGCCTAAAGTTCTCAAGGCACTTT